AGATGCACGCAGGAGGTTGCTAAGCACGAAAGAAGCGTAAGAATCGTGCGAGGCGATAGCGTAGAGCGACTCTAACTTCTTGAGTGCTTTGTAAACCTCCAAGGTCCATCCATAACTCAGTAGTTTACGCTGTGGTGTTTACCACTTGCTTTCTAACATAACATTGGTACATTGTGGTAAAAGAGTTCTCTTTTATTAACCAAATCTTACGTGACCAGAAAAAAATAAGTGCGCGCGGAAAAACAGTCTTTGCATTTGCTCACGTCAGCAGCGTACACCCATGGGCAAATGGGGGACGCTAAATTGACCAATCAGAGCGCGCGCTTTACTTTGGTTATGTTATAATTTTATTTTTTTGTCTAGGTCGTCTCATGCAAGCGGCCAACAGTGAAACTGGTAGATGGCAGTAATTGTTCACCAACCCTTACTTGTGATTTGAGTTCATCCCCAGACAGTCTGACAATGGCCGCTTTGCTGTCAAGCTATGTCAAGTCCTATCCTCCTCTTTTATTGGTGCTCCGTGCTATACATCGATGGTGTTGCGTGACAGGGCTGTCGCGCAACGCGGCTGGTGCTGGAAACACTTCAAACATACTTGCTGCCCTTCTCTTAGCCCAGTGCCTGCACAACAGGCAGATTGAAAATTTTAACGAGGAGCACGTTTTGAAAACGGTGGCACACCAAATGCGAGGTGGCGCAAGAGATGGTAAGCAGTACATGGCGTTGGAAAGTGTCATAGAATCTCTTGGAGCTCACCAGAACGGCGCCCATTTTCCTCAGGTGGAGCCAGATATAACCCAAATTGGCCAACTGCTAGTGACTTTTTTTCAAGCACACGACTCGTGTTTTGAAAGAGAGCTCCCACAATCTCTCACACGTCTTTTCGGTGCACCAAAGCTCTCAGAGCTTCTGGGGAAAGATCATCTAGTCCTCGTGAAAGAACAAATGCAACGTGCCTATCAGCTTCTGGCGTTATTTGGAGACGCAGAGATCATGTTGACCATCAGTGGCTCCGAAGAATACAACGTAATTTTTCTTTCGCCGCTTCTTTCCTCGTACATAGCGGGCGTTGAGAAAAGTAAAGCTCGAGAAATAGCGCGAAAGACTGGAGCGAGGAGCGTCATCATTCGCCCAAATTTTCCAAGGTCACGTTCCTCTACTGTTCTTGAGGTGAAGGGAAGTGAGCCCGCGATAAGAGCAGTGGAGAGGGAGCTGGAAGAGATGAGCACACTAGCATCACGTGACAGGGTATCGCTCATGAGTGGCTGTTTTGTAGAAAACGCAAGTCTGCTTGTGTTTGAAGGAAGTCGAAGTCCAAATGATCACGTGTCTCTGACACCATACGATGGGCGTTGTCATCAGACACACGACCGAGCGGCCCGGCATGTCGCTTTGCTAGAACACGACACACACAGCAGAAATTACGCGTACCTTTGTTTTAGAGAAAAATTCTTTCAACAACTGCAAATACTTGAGCGGGATTTCGATCCTGAGGTGCATGGATGTCGCGAATTCGCTGTACACTTTGGACGAATCTATATGTTCAATGTTCCACACACTCTGCTTGAAGATAGCGAGTCCATCACTATTGCGATGTTGAGAACAAATAAGCGGAAACCAAGTATTTTAAAAAAGAATAGAAGCCCTCCAGAAACAGTCACTTATGTCAACCAAGAACAAGAACGCGCTCGGCGAAAAAAGAGACGGGCAAAACGTAGTAAGATATTCAGCGAAACAAAAAAGAAGCGGAAACGCGGAAATCCATCGAGAAGCTCCTTGTTCACATTTGTTCACTCGCCGGATAGAGTGGTGACTTTCCTTCATCGGTTCGTTTTCCAGCAAGATGGAAATCCCACTGAAAACTACTCAGTGGACATTTTGAATGGAGAGTTAGAATTTTACGTCAGGTTCGATGAGAAATTCAACTTTGTCGAAGTGAAGTTTCCAAATCTACGCTGGTTTATGGTGGATGTCAAGAGGCCATACCAGCACCGACCAGATCGTGGCGTCGCACAAGATGGCGGACACGCAGATGACAACTTTGTTTTAGACGGCTGGGAAACAGACGTTCGTTTCTTGTTGCAATCGCGTTATGCTTTGGCGCAGAAGGACATCCGGGATACCAAATACGCCAAGTATCAGCGTATACTGAAACCCAGTTCATTTCAGAAGCCATTTACAGTTCAAGAAGAGTTATGGAAGGATGTACGACTTATTCGTCACTACAAGTCCAACAAGTTCACATGCACTTCACGTGGTCAAGGTGGATTCTTGAATGGTCTGACAGCATACCTCAACGAGGTGACGGAATATTCCAGACCATTAGGGCCAGAGAAAGTCGGTGAATTCAGAGAAATACACACTCGTTGGGAAGTGTCTTTAGAGGCAAAGCTTCCAGAAGATTTAACAGAAAAGGAAACTGTGAAAGCATTCCTCGAGGAAGTCTGGAATTACGCGCTTGATTTGTCCTCATTCGTATCGAAGTAAAATGACGGATGATCTAGGTTAGTGCCAGCCAATTAAGAAGCCTCCTCTAATTGGACAATTCTTCACGAGAAAGGTTAGAATCGCTGAAACGGTTTTGCGTCACAGAATGTCAAAATCACTCGATGCAAGCTCTAGTAGCTTAGATAAAGGGTGTACAACAAATTATTTCTGTACAATTTCAAGTCATTTTTTACATTTCTTGACGTTCAATTTTAATGCGCCCTAAGTACGATTTTATAAGGGGATAATTGTATAAAATGTAGGAGGTATGAAAGTGAACTCACACCTTGATCAAGAAATTAATCTTTTGTCAGGTCAGCGAATCAGACATTTTGATTAATGTCACGCTCGTTTTTCTTCAGAGGACAATTTTGTGCTTTTTGTGTTGAGAATGAATTCCTTACAAGGAAAATTCTTTCAGCATCGTGTTAAAAAAAAACCATTTAAAGAAGGCGACAGTTTCCTTAGAATCTTCCAGTTCAGTAGTTAAGGTAAAGTATGAATTTAAATAAATTTTGCCTAAAAGCCCTCTGAGTTTTGTTAGAATTTTAGCCCAATCAGAAATAAGCACAAAGCTGCTGAAAGCCGCCAACCTATGCGCATGCTCAACACTGCCTTTTAGTAACGCTTTAAAATGAAATTAATGTGAGTGAAATAACTTTGTTTTGGAACGA